CCCCCCCCCACACCTCCGCCCCTGCATATATATATGTATGTGTGTATCTGTATATTGAAGTTTTGATTTTATAAGGTTTGCATTATTAAAATTGAAAAGTAAAAATATGATAATGTATACTAATAAGTAGACGTGACATTAATCAACTGCTGTGAATAAAGAAAGTAACATTATAGGTGTTCGAAATATATCTTGTATACACCTAAGGTAATTCACGTTCACAAATAAATGTATACTCAGTGGCTCTGAGTCGGGGACTCAAATTAGCACATGGTACTCCAAGATTGCATTGACTTTGCTGTTTTCTTTTTATTTTATTCTCAAACCAAATAATCTAAGACTCAAATTTGGGACTAAATATTTGTCCATTATTTAAAATTAGGCTAAGAGCATATCAAAGAAAGACTCTTCAAATACAAGTTGCTATCTATTTTATAGTCAATAGACTCAATACATAACAATAAGTTTAACAAATGTTCTAGAAAAAATTAAATGAAGATTCAAAATAGATAACATTTTTGAAAAGTATATTTGAAAAAAAAATAAGTACTATAATATTTTGACTTTTTTATTCCAATATTTTTATTTATTTGCTAAGTTCTCCATAATTAACTGCAGTTATTAATCAAATTTGACTTTTATTAAATAAACTTTGCCCCTAATAATTATCAGGTTGAATATAGTCAAGATGTCACCCTTTAACTTCATTCACCTCCTATTTTATATATAAATTAAAAAGTCCTTAAAAATTCAAGTCAAATGAATAATTAATTTTAACTACACATGAAATTTTACAATTTTTATCAACTTTTTAATAGAAATATTTATCAAAATTTACTAAAAAATTAACTTTTAACTACATCAAACAGCGTCTCAATATTTTTCAATATCAAAATGTAATAATATTAAAAATAAGAATTTCATATAGTTTTTTATATTACAATGAGAGCCTGAGACTGGCCCCGACTTGCCTCCACCGCAAGACCAATGACGAATGCTTG